CCCTACATGAAATTCGGAGACACCCCTCTCCTTGCAATTTCTCCCTCCCCTGGAAAACTTCCCAATTTGTCACCCCACGTACACTAAGACACCTCTCTCCCCCATCCTGAGACACACTTACATAGCCTGTGCCTTCACTCACAGCACAGGACAAACCCCTAACCTATTCCTGACCCCACAGAACCCCAGGACACCCCCCCAACCCATACACATAATACTAGAAAATGCCCCCCAGTCGGTCCTCCTCCACATAATCCTCTCCCCTACCAAGGCCCCTCACTCTGACTGCTGGCACTCCTCCAGCCTGTCCCCTCCCACTCTGTGGGTGCCCTCTGAAATGGCCAGGGCCTGTTTCCTCCCCAGAAACCGGGGGCACCCCCACAACTGTTCTCATACCTGACACTCCTAGAGCATTCTCATAAGCTGTTTCTTGCCCCACGGGCCTCAGACAGCTCCACGACCTGGTCACGAGACCTTGGCCGTGAGACGCCCCCACAGCCTGGCTCCTCCCTGCCAGTTCCAGGGGACTGCTGCCTCCAGTCCCCTCCCCTGCAGCCCTGTCTCCCACCGTCAGGCCTGAGACACTCGAGCCCGCTTCTCTTCCCGGGGACCCAGTCACCCACACTGCAGCGGGCACACGCCCCACCACTGGCACTCCTACAGCTGCAAGCATCCCCGGGGGCTGAGGCACCCTGACGCTTTCCAGCGCTGTCCCACTATGCCTCCTTCTCCACAGGCCTAAGACACCTTCAGATCCCACCTCCCCATCCACAGACCCAAGAACCCTGGTGGCAGTGGCCGTCTCAGTGGCCCATGTGCCTGAACCATCCCCAGGGCTAGTATCCTCCACCTTTGGTCCAGAGACCCCAGAGGCAGGGGGCACTCCCACAGCCGTGGGAACACGGGCAGCCACAGGCATCTCAGCAGCCTGTCTGCCCACAAGCCCCCCAGAGGGTGTCTCCTCCCCACCTGACGCAAGCAGCCCCACCCCTATGGTGTGCTGCCCTCCTGACCAGCCTGAGGTTCCCCCAGAGCCAGTCCTCTCCCCCGTGGGCCCGAGTACCCCAGCAGAGAAAGGCACTCCCATCCTTGTGGGTCCCCTCACTATCTCTCTCTCCCTCCACACACCTGAGACGTGCCCAGAGCCAGCTTCCTCCAGCCCGGGCCTAGGTGCCCTGGGAGCCATGAGGCCCCCAGCAGCAGAGGACACTCCCACAGTCACAGGTACTCCTGCAGCTTGTATCCTTCCCAACAAGCCTAAGCCAGCCCCGGGACCAGTCTCCACCTCCAGAGGGCTAGGAGCCCAGGGACCTGTGGGCACCTCGGTTGCCACAGGAAACCTGGCACTCAGCCTCCTGTCTCCAAATCTTGGGGTAACCCCAGAGCCAGAACCCTCCCCAACAAGCTCAGGTAACTCAGGAGCCACAGGAGCCCCAACAGCCTGACCTCTTGCCCTCGATTCTAAGGCAGCCCTATTGCCACTAGCCTCTCCCACGGGCCACAGCTCCTCCAGAAACTCGGGGCCCCCAGCAGCCCTGGGTACTCCAACGGCCAGGTCTCTGTCCCACAGGCTCAAGACACCTCTGGAGCTGCTTTCCTGACACACAGGACCAGATGCCCACACGGTGGACATCCGTCCAGAGCCCAGCACAGCCATTGCTGTGGGCACCCCTGCCAGGGCAGCCCTAGGCTTTGGTGCACCTGCTGCCTTGGGCAGCCCCACCAGCTCAGACACGCCCACATCCTGCCTCCTTGCACACAGACATGATCCATCCCTGTAGTCGGCCTCCTGACCCACAGGCCCTGGTACCCCCAGAGAGGCAGGCACCAGAGCCCCCTGCTCCCCAGCAGCCTGCCTCCTTGAGCACAGGCTGGTGACATTCCCACTGCATGTCTCCTCCCCAGCACCTCCAGCCACTGCCTCAGCCACAGGCACCCCCAAAGCCTGCTGCCTATCCCACGGGCCGGGGATACCACCACAGCCAGTCTCTTCTCCCATGGCTCTGGGCGCCCCTTCAGCCTGGGACACTGTCACCCGCTGTCGCGGTCCCCATAGCCCTGGGACACTGGCACAGCCTGCCTCCCTCCCTAGAACCCTGCATATTCCCACAGCCTCCTCTGCACCCCATGGGCCGTGTGCACCCCCAGAACCTGCCTCCTGCTCATCGGCACAAGTCAGTGCTGCAGAGTGCAGAGCCCTCCTCCACCCTGGCTCACCTCCAGAGCCTGCCTCTACCCACTCGGCCCGTCCCCTCTCCCTGAATCCTAGGTCATCCCCACATCTAGTTTCCTCTTCAGTAGCACAAGGCACCCCAACAGTCTGCCCTGGGCCCCACAGGCCAAGGGTGTCCCCAGAGCCTTGCTCCTCCACAGCAATGGGTACCCCCACAGCCTGGCCCCTTCCCCATGAGCCAGGGGTATCCCCACAGACTGCCTCCTGAGCCAGAGCCCCAGGAAGCGGCACTGACTGCCCTGTCCCCCACAGACCTGGAGCACCCCCACATGTGATATCGTCCTCCACAGTTCTGGGTACTCTCACAGCCTCTGGCCACGCCATAGCCCCTGGCACCCCCAAAGCCTGCCCTCTTCCCCAAGGGCCCGGTGCAACCCCGCGGCCTATCTCCTTGCTGCCAGCCAGGTCTGGCGCCATCGCAGACCTGGTCTCCACAGCCCCAGGCATCCCCACTGGCGGCGCCCTCCCGGGCCGGCCCTGCCGGCCCTAGCCCCACAGCGGCAGGCCCCCCCGGGGCCCGGTCTAATGGCCTGCCCTGCCCTTTCACCCACGGGCCGGTGAGACCACCACGGCTAGTCTCCACCCAGGACGCCCGGCCGGGGACACCCCTTTCCACTGGCCCCTCTCCCGCAGGCACCGGGAGGAGCTCGACTCTGCTTCCTTCTCCACACCCCGACGCCGCCCTCATGGCCCGCACCTTCAGCCACAGCTCCAGGATGCTCCCGTGTCCCAGAGGTCGCGGACGCCCCTTTCTCTCACAGCCTCGGGGGCTGCCCTCGTCCGGCTCCTCCTCCCCAGCCCGGGGCACCCACACGGAGCCTGCCGGCCCCACGACCTCGGGCTCCCCCAGC